TGATTATCTTGTATTACCCATGTATCGCGCCTGCCAGATAACCCTTGCTGAGCTTTGTTTTAAACGGACGAAACCGCGCAATCTGACCTGTTGCGCGACACGAGCGGCTGCGTCGACGCCGACCGAAGGACAGTCCCTCACATCCCGAACGTACTGACTCCTGCGCCGTTACGGCCAATTCACACTGTCAGACTGCCCTATATGTATGTCTGTACATCGTTTGGTACTTGCTTGCTGTTGCCCCTATAGAAATCCGTGCTGCGTCAGTGACTACTTCCCGCTCCTGCTGATTGCGTCATTGTTGATTGTACTTTTTCTTAATTCATGATGCTTACTAATCCGTTTGTCTGTAGAACCAGTTCCTGTCAGTCCTCAATATATCATCTGCTGCCCTACGTCCGTCTGCTCCTATTGACTACTGGCTACGAACTGCGTATAATCAAATAGCCTCAATCGCCCTGTGAGATCCGTAAACGCCCGGATCTTACAGCTAGCAGAGATCTTAAAGAATCCTGATAAAGCACACTAAGCGATTCGGTTTACTCCCGAAGAGGGTTCCCAACTTCCAGATACACATTCCCTGACGGCCCAAATAAAACCCGGACTGGGTGAGGTAATGACTTTAACTATTTTGTTCTACAGAAACAAATAGTTCAACGCAGCCATTCAATTTCGTACTGAGAGGGCAAGAAAATGAACAAGAAGCCGAACTCGAATCTCCAGTAAACACCCTTCGTGAGATTTATGGCTCAGGTCGGTTTATGTAGAAACATGTCTTCTGCAACTGAGAGAAATGAACCGGTGGTGGTCTAATAAAAATCGTTTCATCAATCTCTGTCAAAAGAGACCTATCCATAGACTGGCTGGCTAGGCGTCTACATCACACACATAGGCTAAGCTTTCCAGTCGCTTAACTCAAAGTATGTTTTACAAGAGTCAAGCGATGTTCCCGCATGTGAGAGTTAAGCTCAAAGTATAGTAGCCTACTCTTTTACCCGTTGTAGTGCAGCAGGATACATAGGCCCTAAGTTACGGCGGCTATGCAAGGAAATAACGGGACAGCATCCGTTTCGGCGGACAGCTTAATCGAGGAGGTCATTACCAGCGCAGTAAATGACTTGAATGGTGCTAGCCCTGTGGTACTTTCTAACATCATTTTATAATATTCTTTCAAGTGTACACATATCTGCCGAGGGCCGACTGATATCCTTGTCTGGCCACACTTAGGCGATTGCGGTTTGCGGGAGCAAGCCCACTCTGTGTAATCCGAAATTTTAGTTCACGCATTTAGTTGTTCACATGACTACTGGCCACTCAGGCAAACCGATCAGGATGCAAACAGTTCTCTGGCTTTCACTCGCAGACTATAGTTTAGCTTTATGTATTTTACCTGTATGTGCTCGCTCTTAGTTTTATCACCTTTCGATCGGTATCGGCCAGAATTAGAGATCTCAGAAGTAATAATGTTCGTCAACTTGTTTTGGAAATCGGATGCACAGGTAATCAATGCAAGCGTCTAAACTTTCACTAAGTGATCAGCACCGGTTCGTTTTTTTTCAGTTACGTGAGGTGTATTTGCCCTTTCAGTATCTCATCACATTCCAGTATCAAACTGTCGAGTAATTTTGAATTAGTAGGAGGAAAATGGTAATTTTTAATACCTTTATGAGCTACCAAAAAAGTTTAAATATATTTCAGCAACGATAGTACATAAAGAACATATACTCACTCATATACACCACAGTTTTTTAATATGCTACTGAGAGTGATAATTGGCAGACGTTTTGGAACATAAGAGGACGAGTATGGAACTGTATGTCCGAAACAATCCAACGCAGAACCGGCGATTTGGTTTAAAATGGCGGATTACGTAAAAGGACTCTACTTTTGACACATCTGTACACTAGGTAACTCTGAAAATTGTACCACAACCGAAGAGTCCTTGGCCAGTTGAACGATTTTGGACAACTTCACCGCCTGCAAGAAAAGCCAAGAAGGTGAACATTAGAATTCTAAACGTAATTGAGCTGTACATAGTGGTTGTGACAACCATGTCCATAAGGATAGCTTGATACTAGTCAGGCATTTGCAACCAGCGCCTGTCAAGGCAATGTGAATTAGACAGTGCTGCCGCAAACCAATTACATCGCTCAAGCGTTAACACGTCCGTCCGTTCAGATGTGATAATTCACTTAGGTCTATCGTCTGCTGTTGGAGTAGCCACATGTCAGATGTCCGGAGATTAAATTCCAGTATGACCAAGAATGTGCGCCGCAAATGAGCACTGATATGAGCGAAACTCGATTCCAGTGCTCCTGCCCTTTGGTGCTAACTCATCACAATAACTGTTCCAGGGCAAGAGGAGAACTGCACATATAGGAATTGTGTGAACATGGGTTCTTCAGACGAATGCGGCAACAGCAAGCGAAAAAAAGTAGGTCACGCTGAAAAAGATCGGAGCAACCAAAGCTTATTCATGTTCATTTGCCCTAGCACACAGGTAAAATTGAACGACATCCTATTCTTACCTCCTTTAGCTCTGGTTTTGATTTTTTCGCTCATACATTATTCCTTCCCAATTTCTATCCTGACACGATAGAAGAACTATTTCAGTGTCTTTTCAGGAAGACTGTCTCCCCTGAACAAATTAGTGGTATCATTTGGTTAGCAACTCCCTAGACAGAAACATTTCGCTACATTGTCGTTTTCGCCAGGTTATGGGATACTGCTTGTAGCGGTGACCAATGTGAATCGAGTAGACTGTTGTCTCTGACTCACAAGTTACTGATCGGGTACGTAAATAGAATGCCTGTCAATTTGTATCAAGCTTTATGGTCAACCGCAGTTTCTAGTGAGGCTTTCATAGTGGAACATTCATAGTGGAATTGAATATAAAGTTCATGTCTGAAAAGGGACACTTAAGCTCAAATATTAACCTTCCCGTTTTTTCATCTCGTTCCTGTATACTTTCAAGGGAATAGTGACCCTAGATGATATTTGCCACTAGTAATTGTCACGGACATCAAACTCACCATCAGAGCTGCCTTATCCAAATCCATCACTGATAACAGCCTCTTTCCGCAGGTTGCCAAGATTCGTTTTGCCTCAGTGACATTAGTTCCTTGAAAAAAGTAGAGAAGGATTTCTCAGTCTGGATATGGATCTTTTGAACTGGACACTGGCTATATCAGAAGAGATTACCTGATCCGGGGATCTATTCAGCAGTTATCCGACATTCTATAAACATATATGTATTCACATACTAATTCGACGAATGAATAAGGCGTTAATCACTGATTGCTTAAACATCTCGAACCCATCACTGCAATACAGACGGCAGCGATTAACAACTTTTTGGGTGAAGCAGCGATGTGGTAAGCGAACAGCCAGATGACTGCTTTCAGGCTGCTTGGTTTACTTCGTTTGATTACACAAGATAAAGCGATCGGAAAACGATGCTGTTATCTTAGCCAGTCGCAGAAAAAGCTGTGTGGAGCCAATTGGTGCTTCAGTTCAAAAGATTTTTACGTTTAACAGTTGAAGAGTATCCTCGCCCTAAGGCGTGTTCAGTATGCAGCCTAGCTATTCCGCGTTTGGATACAAACACTGCGCTTGCATCAATTTGAAACAGGAAATGCAGGTTTATTAAAGTTTTAAACACTGAAACTGCCCGCCTTCTCAGTCCACTCCTTTTCAGATTAGAACTTCATACAAAAGGGAGATAGCCGGTCAACCAACCGAATACCAGGATAATATGACAAATCACAAGCAGCCCTGACAAATGAAGAGAAAAGCAGGCTTCAAGTCCTCGAAACTATTTAAATGCGAATGCAGAAAGAAGAAACACCCACTACACGGCGCGTTGACGCGCTCCTTTCGAAAGGCAATGAAATGTTTTACCAACTAGTCAGAACCACAAGACGCACCTTGCAGTCGAACGACGATAGGAACTTGCGTTTTTATCTCGCTCAATGCACTCACAATACCTTGAGCAATCACGTCGCATTTTAAAATCCCTCCGAAGATGTTCACAAATATGACTTGAACTTTTGCATCAGAAAGGATCAGTCGAAAAGCTTCCGCAATTTGATTGGCCTCTGCGCCACCGCCGACATCCAAGAAATTGGCCGGAGACCCACCGTGCAGTTTTATTATATCCATGGTAGACATGGCCAGTCCTGCACCGTTTACTGAGATCAAGAATGAAGGAAAAGAGAGAATTATAGGAAGTGCTGGATGAAAATGAAGATAAACCTGTTTATCTGCTGCACTGCTGTAACTTACTGCTACAAACCATTCGGTCAATTTTCATTTGAAGTAGACGGAAAGAAGATCAAAACTAATGCACAATAAACGTCCAAATCGGAACTGAGGGTGGAATGCTAAAAAAGTCACATTTCTGCAGGTCCTTTTTCAGAAGTGAGACTTCATCCAAAATATGACAAACAGAAATTCAAAAGAATTGAAATAAAAACCTCTGATTCGTCAGCACGTCCCTGGTCATTATCGTATTCTTTTATACTTTTCTATCTGTTACTTTCCAGTCGATTGTTTTATTTTGTCTACTTGTCTCCTTTTTATGTATTCTTCTCCCACTAAATAAATGCTTACCTATTCCTTCATTCTTCCCTTTTTAGAGTGGTTGAGGGATATAACATTGGGTGAGTATGGGATAGGAAAAAACCGCGATTCATCTTCCTAACTCTCAACCACCGTTTAATCCTCGTTCTCTTAGCTTCTTTGCCTCAATGTTACTTTTTCTTTATCGTTTTCTAACCGTTCATACCTAGGAGGTAAATCATTCATCCTCGTCAGTTAAAAAAGGATGACCTCCAAGTGAGCGGCGCTTCGTATAGTTCGGATGCAATGCAACTAGCATAAAAATTCTGAAGCATGAAGATAGGGCTCACTCAGATAGCTGAAACACAATAAGTTGAAAACCAGTTTGGTTTTAACAAGAGAATAAACTGAATCCCACATGAATCTATTAGTGCACAGGTAGTGATAGCCATAATACAAATCAGAAGGTGTATATGCACTAGTAGAAGTTCTTGTGTGGTTGCGACACGTATAAAGATAAATACAGTCCGAGAATGGGAGCAAGTCAAAAGGGAACTTATCCTATATGAGAGTCCCTTGGTGGAAGTCCGGACGGCGGGAACGTGTTTTTCTCCGCAGTTCGACTCCATAGTTGTCCGTGGACTTGGAGTGCTTGAGCTGACTCCTTGCTCCCTGCGCGCGCGCGAGCCCATGTGTCTTGACTGGGTTCGGTTTCCCTTTATGTAGGTCCCAGTGCGTATACGTGGGCGCGTCGGCACATGAGTGGTTGCTACGCTGACTAGGCGGTGCAGACAATCGATGTCCGATGAGTCAGATTAATGCGACGTGTTTGTGCGTATGAGAAAAAAGACAAGCCTCGCGATCCAGTGAGCGACTGTGAGTTGAACAGTCAAGTATGTGGGTGACTGGGTTGCTACAATTCCACCACTTTTCATGTTTTTCAACTGAATGTACTGGACGAAGACCGTCTCATGTTTCAGTTAGCATGATAATCGAGATGTCACTGTGAAGCTGCCAAACGGCTCGTTATTCTGACACCTTACAACGAGACATGGAAAAGTGTACCACTTACAGTAAGCAATCACATAAAGGAAAAACGGATCAGCACCATTCGTCGGCGGTGTGTCGGTAACTCATTAGGCACGAAACGATGAAACAAACGAGTCAGTTGGACAACGCATGAGACTGAGCTTGGATGACCGACCGGTATGCACAGCGCAGTAAAAGAGACTTCATTCTAGTAATACCGGGTAGCTTGCACGCATATGGTACAAAACGTGGTACCCATTGCGTGGTAAACGCTACCCTTACAGGAGTAGCTTTCGATACTCTGGTCCTGTGGTATTTTATGCCATCCCTCATTTGGGTATTTAGTCACCCACCATGAGCTTTGGCCATTTCTTGCACAATCACTTATGATCCAAGTGGCAGAAATAATAGGTTTCTTCTAGGCTCGACCGAAAACGCCCTCAGAGGGAGGTGTCCGGAGGACAGCTGTTCTATACAGCAGAAAATCACGTCGATCGTCGGATACGCCGCTAGTCGGTTACGAACCATGCTAAGGGATACACCGATGGCTGGAATGTGAGCCAATCAAGACCGAGAGCTTTAGTTCAGCACTCCTCGCTTCACCACGAAGATGCTTACTTGACTTTGTGGGGAAATGCTTGATAACTCTACGGATACAATTGCAATTGTCTTCCTTTATCTTCTTTGTCTCAAGCTAACTCACCTATGGATATAACATCCTTGGTTGAACAGCGAGTCAAGGACCAACATGGGAGTTGCAACACCGTTTGCAAGACACAATACAGTGGTTACACTTCTACTGACTGCTTTTGCTGGCTATCTGTGCACCAAGCCAAACTAACTTTGTTCCATTGTGAGCTTGAGGAGGCCAAGTGGTTAACGCGCGACCTCACTGACTACGGACTGGAATTTTGCAGAGCAGGGCATTATTCCTTTCCCCAAAGGTTACAGAGGTGTAGCTTATTTTTGGTTCAAATTCTCAGGAGTTCCTTCTCAGATGTTCCTTTCATCTACCTTACTGAAGAGATACCTTTTGACACACGCCATAGCTGTATCGAATAAAGTTTACAGAGTATTTTTATCAGTTCTGCCTAACATTCAGTTAGTTCAGGTAAACGAAGAAGACATACCTGCCTGAACAGATAGGTGGTACGAATCACCGCATCATCATTTTGATATGCTATCCTTTTTGACTACTCAAGTCTACTCAAGTCGTACCAGTAATCAGCAGCATAATCTTAAACTTGCAGATTAGGATTTTCCAGGACATAATACTACTTACCCCAGTTTACTTCCCTAAAATCTAGTATCCAAGACCGAATTGTAACTTGCGTACTCTTATCATCCCACTGGTCTCCCTTTAATTGTATGTGTTTCAAATGTGACCGATGTTACAACATTCAGCGGACACGACTAAAGTTCACTTCTAGGTTCAAGAAGCTATTCAATCACCTCGGTAGTCATTTTCATTTTGTTGCGATCCTTAACGCTCTCGTTCTTGCTGTACAAAGGAGTAGTTTCACTGAATGGCTTAGCTGAAGTCTTACATTTCGATTTACCTAACCTGTTGTCTGCTGAGGTTGCCTGAACGACAGTGCTCCTGAATTTCCTGCCTTCATTGGTTGCGTCTGTGAGCATTGATAATTCCAGCTGAACCTCAGTGTCTACAGCCGACTGGATCGAGCAAGCGTTCTATCAACGTTTTTCACTCCACAGAATGAATGGAGCTTCACGAGTTTAGCTTCGTGTGTCAGGAAGCGTCCAGGCACGATAAGTACATGTGCAAAGAACGACGCGCCCTTAGGGTACTACATGTTCTGGATAGCAGGTACGTGGGCGGAGCCTACCAAAGACGTCCTAGCAGCTTGCGAACAGCGGAGTGCGCGTGAAACTGTTCACGACAGGAACGTCGCAACTGGCTAGACAGAACGAACAAGCGAATGGCCGCATTTTGCCCTTTAACCATCCTATATACATTCACGCAGAAGCTCTGTATGTTTGTCCTGAGAGTACAGCCGTGTCCCCAGTTCTCTGTCTTCTCCTTATCGCTTAGTCTGGCAGGCTCAGTGCAGGAGGGTACTCACGATACAACAGTGTGACTATGTATGAATGACAGGGGCTAGGAATATGAGTTTCCAGAGCTCAATTGAAACCAAAGAAGTAAGGGGGAATGGATGACCTAACTGTTGCTTCGACAACTATAACACGCCCAGACACGAATCTTACCTGTTCGGGAGTAGTAATTCAGGTCATTCCAACGTGCGCTCCTAAACTACTGGTGACGCGCTTATTCCACCTGTAGGGTGACTAAAGTTCATATTCGGGTGTGCCCGAAGATGTACATTACTAATGGGCACCACTACAGCGTTATTCGAATTCACTGTATTTATTCCGGTAAAGAATTAGCAGAACAATAAAGCAATGACTTCAGAGCATCTATGTACGTGATTGGTTTTAGCCCGAAATGACTCACCCAAACAACCAATGTTCCCGTCCAAGGCAATGTAGTTGATGCCGATACTTTCGGCACGGATGTCTCTTGCATCCTCCAAGCTTCGATCGCGTTTGACAAACAAGTCCTTCTGTCGTTCACGTGCGTTGTCGTCTATCTGGATTTTGCAGTCCACACATAGCACTGAAAAAAGCACGTTCAGAAAAAGTGCGATGAACATATTTCCCTTAAATTCTGTTTCGCTTGATCAAGTTTTAACTTTGGTCAATAATAAACTATTGCGTCGGCGACGGAGGAACCATCTGTCGGTCAATGGCAGTCGTTTTACAAATCACGACACACAAGGGCGAGTCAACTGACATCGACTGTCTACCGTCTGATCCGTGTAGCAAACTTGTTGCTACATGTGCTGACATCCGCACACACGCAAACATTCCTACGCGTAGGATACAGCACAGCAACACGACACAACTCAACAGAGCTACGCACGTCGCCCAACTCGGAGCATAGCAGCTCAAAACCTACGGCGCTTCACTCACGGATAGTCAGGAAATACGTGTGGCTGCTACAACCTGCATCCGGGTTTGCAACAGGATTTGTCAACCTGTATCTGCAATACGGTAAGTCCCTTGCTCACATATATACCTGTTGTAATCATTTTACTTAACAAGCTGACATTGTTAGCGCTCCCCGTTTTTCTGTTCATATAACTGATTTTCTAGTTCTAGTAGAGCAATAACAAATTGGTCACGTAAATCCTGACATGTTTTTCATTTGGACTTCCATATATCTATATTTCTATTCATGTCCGACACACCCACGGCTCAGTCACTAACCCCCCTATTACTTCAACCCAATATCAACGCCACATCTGTTCACCTACCTCCGTTCTGGCACCATGATCCGTGCATCTGGTTCACTCAAGTGCAAGCTCAATTCACCCTTAGAGGAATCACCCAGGAACACACTATGTATCAGTTCTACCGTTCTACCCTTCTACCTCCCGAACTAGCGGCAGCTTTACGAGACATCCTTATGGCACCGGATAGCTTCCAACCATTTACATAACTTAATAATACATTATTTACGCGAACAGCACTATCCGAACATAAGCGCTTAGAACAGCTGATGGCTGTACACCGTCTCAATTCTTACGCCACCTTTACAGCATTTTGGGTGACAGTAAACCGATTACGCGTTGCTCAAACAGCTCTTCCTCAAGCGTTTACCAACACATGTGCAGTGGATTCTCGCTCCGGATACAGATAACGTTCCTTTGACACAACTGGCAAGTATCGCCGATGAAATACTCGAAATACAGCCTTCTACTTCAAATATCAATTCCCCTGACTCGTCTAACACAGTTTCTTCAATCAACCCTCGTCTCGATGAACTCGCTAATCAGATAGCTGCTATTTGTTTTGGTCGTTTTCAACGTTGTCAATCCACACCTCAGCCTGCATACAAGCGCCACAGTTCTCTTTCCTCTAAACGTTCTCAGGGGCACTGCTGAAATCGCACCCAGGTCGGCCGATCTGCTCGAAAATGCACGAAACCCTGTTCATTTCGGGTATCATCACCCGCAAGCAAGTTTCAATCGGGAAAAAGAACAGGCCGGACAGTAGAGGCGACTAGTGTCCCAGGCCTAGATCGCAACACTCGCCGTCTCCTTCTCCTAGATAGGAACTCTGGTTTCCGCTTTCTGGTCGACACAGGTGCTGATATTAGCGTAATACCTGTAACCGCTGCGGACTCCAAACTGACGCCATTCCCGCTCACATTGAGGGCGGCAAACGGCACTTGCATTAAAACATATGGACAACGAGCGCTAGACCTTAACCTCGGCCTACATCGAGCATTCAAATGGTTTTTCATCATTGCAGACGTACATCAGCCAATTCTGGGAGCAGATTTTCTGACTCACCATAATTTAATAATAGACTTAAAACGTCAAAGCCTACTTGATGCCACCACCCAATGAACAGTCAAGGGAAAGTCAACAGTTACGCCGAACATTTGCCCAATAACGCTATCACCACACGGTTCTTCTCGTTACCATGACTTGCTCCGAGAATTTCCAGAACTCTCAAGACCAAACTTTCATCAAGCAGAACGGACACACTGTGTAGTTCATCACATTGACACACGAGGAACTCCCGTTTACTCACGTCCAAGGCGACTTCATTTGGAAAGACTAAAATTTGCCAAAGAAGAATTCCAGCACATGCTGCAGTTAGGAATCATTCGACCATCCAAAAGCGTGTGGGCTTCGCCACTTCACATGGTCCCGAAGAAAACTGCAAGGACTGGAGACACTGCGGTGATTATCGAGCACTAAATAACATAACGACTCCAGATCGTTACCTCATCCCGTACATTCACGACTTTGCACCTAATCTAGTGGGCTGTACAATATTTTCCCATGTTGATATCCTTCGGGCATATCACCATATTTCAATTCACCCCGAGGACATTCATAAGACTGCAATCACTACACCTTTTGGTTTGTTCGAGTTTTTGCGCATGCCATTTGGTTTTAGATACGCAGCCCAGATATTTCAGCGTTTTATTGACCAAGTACTTTCCGGTTTACCGTTTGTGATTGCCCACTTAGATGATATTGAAGTCGCCAGTAATAGCATGGAGCAACATCTAGAACATTTACGTATTTTATTCAACTGATTGCGCGACCATGATCTTGTTATCAACGCACAAAAATGTATCTTTGGCGTGTCTACACTAATTATTCTTGGACCTACGGTTAACCAGGATGGTATATCACCCACTGACGATAAACTCGATGCCATCCAAAGTTTTCCTTTGCTCACTTCATTTAAACAACTTAAGCGTTATTTGGGTATGATTAATTCCTACAGACACTTTATTCCGAAGGCTGCGTCATTGTTAGCACTACTCACTAACCTCTTATCCGGAAAACCAAAAAACATTTCATTTGGCCGACTCCGCTATTTCTGCTTTTGGACAAGTCAAAACATCGCTAGCGGACTCTTTCAAGTTGTTTTGTTCACAACCCAACTCTGTATTGTCACTTAGTGTGGACGCCTCCAACGACGCTGTAGGTGCTGTTTTACAACAAACTATCAACTATACCCATCAGCCCCTCACATTTTTCTCTCATAAACTGTCACTAACCGAGTCCCGTTACAGTACGTCTGGTCGTGAACTGCTCGCTAGTTACCTATCCATTCGTCACTTCCGACACTTACTAGAAGGTCGCGAATTTCATGTTTATACGGATCACAAGCCACTGACTTCAGCAATAAAAGCAACACCGGACAAATACTCCCCTCGTGAAATTCGCCATTTGGATTACATTTCACAGTTCACCAACGACATTCGACGCATCTCAGGGCGTGACAACATAGTTGTTGATACCTTGTCAACGCCGTACATCCGGCGTCGTTCTCAATCACATGACAGAACTTCGAAAAAAGGAATTATCTTCGACGTCACTAAGTTCAGTCATCTCTGAATATACAGCCGATGGCGCTAACAACCGTACCAGGAACTATAGAGTGTGATACTGGGACAGTTACTCCAGGACCCCTGGTCTCATTCTCCATGAGCCGAGTAGTTTTCGTCACATAATATCTCACATTCAAGTAAATGCTCAACACAAACTCATCTCCCAGCAATTCGTACGACGGAATTGAACACAGACATTCGCGAATGGGCTAGCACCTGCCTAGCATGTAAACGTTCTAAAGTTATTCGTCATACCCGATCATCCATAGAAACTTTCGCTGCTTCTGACAGCAGATTCGATCACGTACACATGGTTATAGTGGATCCTTTACCCCCATCCAACTGCTACTCCTGCATACTCACCATTGTAGATCGTTTCACTCGATGGCTCGAGGCCATTCCTATCAAAAACAAATGTGCAGACACCGTTTCTCGAGCATTTGCTTGCCGATGGACTTCCACATTCGGCGCCCCCTTATATATTACTTCTGGCTGCGGCTCCCAGTTCGACTGTCATCTATTCCGAAATCTGACAGAATTGCTCGGTTGCGCACATTCTTTCGACGGCTTATAATACTCAGGCGAGTGGATTAGTTGAAAGGTTTCATCGTCGCTTGAAGTTCGCTATGATAGCTAACAACGATCCCAATAACTGGTACGTCGTGTTATGAGTGGTACTACTACACCTACGCACCATGTTTCGTTCCTCATCAAATTTTACACCAGTGGGGTTAGTTTTTGGAACCACTTTACGCATTCCAGTGCAGAAACCCCGACCAATTCACCCTCCTACGTGAATCAATTGAGAGAAAATATGTCAATACTCTGATATCATTCATCTCGCATTCCCAATAGTTCATTATGTTTTAACAGACTTATCATCTTCGTTTTAATACGTCCTGATCGTGTTAAAAAAATCTTTGCAGCCCCCATATAACTGTCGTTATCTTGTGATTTCTAGACACCCCAAATATTTCATTATATAATCTAACAACAAATCTGATACAGTCACTATCAATCGTTTGAAACCAGCCGATACTGATTTGGTTGACTCAGGACGTCCTGGAAACTACACAAGTGATGTCAAGCCCAAAAACAACGCAACCGAAGTTTCTCCGAAGCCAACTCATGCCACGTCTCCAAATGCATAATGCAGAACCACACTCTCCGGCCATCATGTTCACTGGCCTATTCGTTTTGTGTTTGGAAAACCCTAACTGTAAAATACATCCTTCCTTTTAGGGAAAGGGCATTGGTCGCCATGTCTTCACCACAAACATGACTACAGATCACCGCCACTCACTAGATCACGACGTCTGCTTTTTTCTACCACTCAGAAATCACGCGACAGGATCGTGACCCATTTGACCACACAGCTCGCAGCCGAACCCTAGATCCCAGGGCTCGCCTCCCTCCCCTACACGTACAAATCACGACACACAAGTGTGCATTATCTGACATCGACTGTCTGACGTCTGAGCGGTGTAGCAACAAACCATGTGCTGCACGTGG